TCCTCAAGCAAAAGTGAGCTCTTTCTCATTTCTATCCTCCTCCCCCCACCTCGAACGAGCATCAATTTCATGATATAACGAGTGGTTTTACAAAATTAAGTGTGAAGACCAAAATGCTTACCATTGCTTAATTGCCCCGCGTGTCATTTTTCAGAACAATCGGCGGCTCTTTTCTACTTTCTCCCACGGGGCCTAGGAAATTAGGCGACAAGCAAATTAGACGAGCGTAAAGAAATTGAATTTACGGACAACCAGCATTTGCTCAGCCAAAAGCTTATTTAAGTCTGTAAACAATTTTCACGCAATTTGTACGCCAGTTATTGTCTAAATTCCGTAACTTTTGGATCGTCTAATTTCCTAGACCCCTTTCCCCACATTTCATATTTTTTAAATTTTCGTAGTTGTTTTCCGTGCTATAACGGCTAAATGCGTGATGTTAAAATAAAAGGTACAACAAACAAATCTGTTTGCAGTTATGGGCTTGTTCACCATGTAAAATTTCCTTGCCCTCTGACAATGCTGAAATAGTTTTTCAAACTTGAAAAACAAATGTGGGGAAGGGGAGTGGAAAACATCCTAATTGGTCAATGTGAAGAGTTATTTCCCAAAATTGAAAGCCCAAATGTGAAGCCCAAAATTGAAACTCTTCACTTCGATATATTTTGATTTTTTCCCCAAAATGATTAAGCTCTTTTCTGCAGCTTCAAAATTACCAGCTACAAATAAAACTTCCCAAAAAATCAGGCTAAATGAATTTCAACAATTTTGTCGACAATTTATCTTCTCCTGAGACATTATTCATTATTCTCCACCTCCCCCCACCCCCCCTAATATGACGAGAAGGGATGAATTTACGCGCGGAAGTAAGCACGGATTTAAAAGAAACGTTGGGGGCGATTTGTTGATTTGTTCTCGTTTTAACTCACCCTGCGGCTTTTTTCCAGTTTCCCACCCCCTTCGTAAAATTACAAGATAAAAATGTTCATAAAATTTTACACGGCATTTTGCATATAAGATATGTTGTAAAAATTTGTTTGCCTGTTCACGCTGACACGTTTTGATGCAGTTCATAACACTAAAGTCATTTTAAATAGACCTTCATTCATTGACCTGCATACATAGCTTCAAAAAAAGGGGAACTGGAAAAGAGTCCACACAGCAAACTCGAGAACCACAAAAATGTAGAAACACAGTATAAAGAAAATAGGTTTTTTCTAGACTGGGAAGAAAAAGAGCCGAAGGTGGCGGCTTTTCTCGAATTTTTTTTCTTTCAAATTCAAATGTGAATAGCTCATTTGGTGTGGTGAACAACTGTAAACAGATTTAATCTTCATTTTTCACATCGTGAACTCACGCATTTAGCCGCAATAACACGTAAAACAAACATAGAAATCAATTTGTTGAAAAGTGGGGAAAATGAAAAAGAGCCAAAGTGGCAAAAGAATGAATGATGTTTAAAAGCTTTGACTCTTTTCCAACTCCGCCCCCTATTATTTCAAAAAAAATTTCTTCATACAATACATTTTAACATCATGCATTTAGCTATTATGATACGTAAAACAATTATGAAAATGTAAAAATATGAAACGTTGTGAAAAAAATGGAAAAAAAAGCTTTTATTCATAGTGTTTAAAGCGTTAAAAGGAAAATGCATGCTTTTACGATGTAAATTATGATTAAAACATTTGTTACAATTTTTAGTTTGGTTTTTTTGTTCCGATTATCGAAGAATTTGAGGAGTATATATAGACGGGGAGTATTTTCTGTTCAGACCGATTTTAGAAAAGTTTACTGCAAATGGCTGTCAATCTGGAAACCTTGGGATTGCCAAGCGAGCATGCTTGCACTGGAATAAGTGCGGATGGCTCAAATAATACTTGGATAATTTGCTTCAATACGCAAATTATTTATGCGTAAAAAATTATCCGCATTCATAATCGTTCCAAATTTAATCGAGGCAAGCTAATTCATTCCTTTATTTCAAATCACAACTCAAAACTTAAATTTTGGTATTATCACCCTAAAATCTGTAGTTTGTCAAACTTTCATCTACCAAAAACTATTCGAGATCAGTTTTTGGGCAGTCGGAACAATCAAAGCTTTGCCCATGAACACTCTTGCTTAAAATATGACAATGTGAAAACGTTAAAAACGAACTTCAATTGGAGGAGAAGCAGGAAACAACCGGCGCTTTGTTGGAATTCGAGACTTCTCCAGTTTTTATTGGAACTAGAAAAAACTTGAACTAAAAACTAAATTATAGTATTTACTATTTTCATATTTAGAAAAAATGACGCCAAAAGCACTAAAAGCTGATTGACACAAACTGGATGCCATAAATTAATTTTAAAAGGGTACTCTGGTTGCCCGGATGGACAAAATTATAGGTTCTTTTTCCACCTCCCCCACCTCACAGAAGCATCTTTTTCGAAAAATGTTAGATAACAACAAATACAGGTATGCTATACAAATAGTTGTAGCAATTCGTAATTGCATTAGAAAACCGTAGAATACGCTTTCAGTTGATAAAAATACATTTCCAGTTCCAAAAAAAAAATTTTTTTTTCCTAGCTTGTTAATAATTTCAGTTTGGTGCTTCTCAGTTCACACTGTTTTTCTAAAAAAATACCCAAGTCTGCCAACGGGAAATTTGAAATTTCCAAGAATTTTTGTGCCTCTCAATTCAACGTGTTTTTGCATAGCTATACAGGATCTCAAATGGGCAGGTGGGAAAGTCCATCCAAAAAAATTGGTTGAGACTTAAACAGCCTCGATTTTGCAATCAAAGCGAGATTGCAACCAATAAGCTGACCAGACCTAGCAGACTGCAAAGTTTTTTCTCGTTAATTGATTTTTTAATATGAGTTGAAAAGTAGTGCCTCTCATTGCAGCCTTTTTGTAAGAAAATTTATTCAGGATTCCCATCAGAGAAGTGGATACTTTCAATCACAAGTTTTTTTTTGCTTTTTTTTCTTTATGAGAAACATTTTTGTTGAACTTGAAAATGTTTTAGAAAAAACTACTGGCTTTCCCGCATTTTAGATTTTTTTTACAACTACAATGAAAAAAGAAAAAATCAAATAACAGTTTGAAAATCAGTTTATTTCATCTAAATGGGCAATACGCTCGGGCAAATAGAAAACAACGGTTCAGCAAGAAGTTGGAGAGTTCTTAGAGGAGAACGACTGCCTGAATGCGAGTTCATTGAACACTACCATGGTGTTTTTGGAGTAAAGACTCCTCTTCAGTACTTTGAGCAATACTTCACTGATGACTTCATTAACGAAATGTGTTACAAAGCTGTTCATTATCGTGTGACAAAGGACCACAACGATGTGGCTGCTACTATTTACTTGGAAGAAAATTTGAGTGTGGACGAACAAATTATTGCTTACAAAGGTCGGAAGTCGTCTCTTAGACAATATAACCCTCGAAAACCCAAAAAATGGGGTTGGAAAGTTTTCGTTCTTTCTGGTCGGCTAGGGATTATCCATAAAATTGAATTTTATGGGGAGACCGTATCGACAGCTCTTGGCGGCGAGAATGTCAACAAGCCCGGACAAGTAGTACTACGCCTCGCCGAAAATATTCCATCAGGGAGAAACTTCAAACTTTTCTTCGACAACTGGTTCAACTCTCCAGGGTTGCAAATAGCACTTGCTTTGAGACAGATCTGGTCTATTGGCACTCTGATGGTGAACCGGGCACCAGGGTTGAAATTTGACCACATCGTGAAGCCTGCCAGAGGTTCGTATGTTACAAAAACGATGAAGATACAAGATGTACAGCTTTTTGCAACCCAGTGGTTTGACAACAAACCTGTTACTGTTCTGAGTACATTTTGCGCCGGCGAGCCGGAAGTTTCTCTTCGTAGGTACGACCGTGTTTCAAAAACTCACGTGGCCGTTCAAGCACCCCAATCCATATCCGTCTACAACAAACATATGGGCTATGTTGACGAAATTAACTCATATTTGGGTCGTTTCCGCGTAACAACACACTTTCGGACCAGAGCCTATCTCAAAATTTTTTTGAATTTCGTGAATATTATCGCAACAAACTGTTGGGCCCAGTACAGGCGAGATGCAGAGCGAGAAGGCGACGGTAAAAAAGACACGATGTCGTTGTACGTTTTCAAGAGTTTGTTGGCGGAGTCTTTGTGTAAAACCAAAGCATCACGACCGGGACGGCGCGCGAGTCTGGATGAAATTCCTATAAAAAGACCACGACCGGGGCCTAAATCTACACTTCCCATGGCTGATATTCGACTTGATAGAACAGGCCATTGGTCAATTGGCATTGGGAGCAGCATGCGGGGTGGAAACTGCAAGATGCCAGGCTGCAAGTCAAAGCCAGTCACAAAATGCGAAAAATGTGACGTTCATCTCTGTGTGGCAGCAAAAAACTGCTTCAAAGTTTTTCATACAGTCGAGAGGCTATGAAAAGTGTTCATAAGTCTCAGACTTCTTGGAAACAAATAAATGATGAAATCAGAAGTTTTTTCAAGAAAAGTTCGATTTCGTACTCAATCAATAGTTGTAGCTTCAATTTGCCGAAAAGTACGATTTCGTACCAGGTCAAAAAAACAGTACCCAAAAATTTTTTTACGTTTTTTAACTTCATTTTTGTGAAACCTAGACCAAATAACGCTGTGTTACGCAGATAAAGTGCTGAAAACAATAATGAGAAAATTGCCGTCCAGTTAGGGTTAAAAAAGTTCTGGTCAACGTCGATTGTAAGTAGCTGTGAATAAAGATAGAATTTGGGAAATTAGTAGTATAAATAATTAGTACAAAAGTAAGCTACATATTTAATTACCAATATTTGATTAAATTACAGCAGAAAAATTAATGATATATTTTTATAATATTTCCGCTAGTCATTTTGATTGCTTTTTACGTGCAGCTCCATTTCATATTTCGCAGTTACAGCGATTGAAATATCACTCGCTCATGCTTTGATCACACCTGAAACACAAATGTTATCATTACTTCAACTTTTATTTAATAAGTACAAATATACGGAGTGCGGCCAGTATTTAGACAGCCGCGTATTCATACTGGTCAGTATTTAGACAAATACTGTTTCAACCAATCAGAATCGAGAAAAAACATAAATAATCCAAAATAAATAATAATTATTTATTAATTTCTTCTTTGTCTCGATTCTGATTGGTTGAAACAGTATTTGTCTAAATACTGACCAGTATGAATACGCGGCTGTCTAAATACTGACATGTAACCAAATATACAAAGCCTTTATCTCTTTTTTTTGCAATAAACTTCTTAATTTTCTACTAATTCAGGATTTTAGCAGATTACTTATATAGGAGTTTTAACTATTGGGAACACCAGATTTTGAAGGAAAACCAGAAACTAGGAAACTCCGTCGGTTCCAATTTGAAATCAAAATAGTGATCCAACATATTCATGGATTTAACCACACAATATGAGCCACGCAAATATAACTTTGATCACAATTCTAGTTGGAAACTCAACCTGATTGCATTTTTTGGCATAAACTCACCTTCTAGTCGTGAGCAAAACACCCTAGTCCAATCACACAACTTAAGACCATTGGTTTTATCAGGTGGCGGCCTTGCAGATGAATACTTTGACCCGCCACAAAACTTCGGCATGTTGTAAAATGCATACATTAGCGTAGAAGCATTTTCAGAATTCTGGACGAGCTGTTTGACCATCTGACGTTGAAAAGCTCCCAGTTCTTCGAATGCTAGCATTTTATTGGCTAGTTCACACAAATCGTACATTTGCACAATCCAGTCAAATTTCTTTCTGTTTTCCAATTTGTCGACTTTTTCAACTTCGGCTTCACTTTCCTCGTCGTCAACGCTCGGCCCTCGGCAATCGGGGACCGAGTTCAAAGCACAAACTGTGAAATATATCTGACCGAAATTAATGACTTTCTTCAGGTCTGCTGGGTCAAAATGAGCTTCGCGTGAAAGTCTCCGGGATGAAACACCCCTACTAAGGACAAACAGGAAAAACCCGAAGCAGAAAAACAATTTCATTGTAGTAAAGTACATTGTTTGCTTTTCTTCTGTATGTAAAGAATATGTAGAATATGAGAAAGTTGGTAACTTTGACGTTCTTCAGCAAGGTTGAAATAAATCTGATCATAGTGGGCTCCATTGGTGATCTTTTTGTCTTCAGTAATGCAGTTTTAGTTTTGGTTTACTTTTTGGTTCAAGTTTTAGAATCATTCGCAACTTAGTCTACGATAGAATGCTTTTTGTATTACATTAAATGACGAAACAGCTTTAACAGCTATTTTTTTGATCTGTCGCTTTTCATTGACGTATTTTTCATCGCTTCAAATGAGATTAATCTCTTGTAAAAATGACAGCATAATATTTTCTAAAATTCAGAATTTAGTTCCAGAACTTACGACACAATTTGATGAAAACAATCCAATTTTCAGTTGGCGTACCTGACAAAAAAATGCCACTGGAAATTGCCGCTTTGAGGAGAAATGCAAAAAAACCTTGTTCAGTATTCTATCATTACCACTGTGCGAACTGAGGAAAGTTGAAATCTGATTTAAGTTGACTATATTTTTTGATTTTCCGAGCTCTCCCAAAGCACTAAAAAGAGCTCTCCCAAAGCAATACTTTTGCGCCACAGGCAGGGGTGGGTGGATCTAGGATTTTCTCGAGGGGGGCGGATTTTCAAAAAAAAATAAAAATTCAAAATTTCAAAATTTTGTCGACCTTTTTTTTTTGAGTCGACCAAATTGATTTTGTGTGCTCTCCGGAACACCACTATATAGACCCAAATTTGACCATATTTTCTGCGCCTCAAGCAAATTTATTGAAAAAGGCGTTTTTAGGCACTTTTTGGATTGTGGAATTTTTCGACCAAAAAATTGCGTTTTTTTCGGCGCGCGCTCCCCCTCAAAATTAGTATACATTGGCGCCAAAGGCTCTTTTAGAAAAATTTTAAGGTCAGTCAGCCAAAAATGGATATCTTCCATAGCAATTTTAGGCATTTTAGGCACTTTTTGGAAAATGTTGACCAAAATATCGAGCTTTTTCGGCGCGCGCTCCCCCTAAAATTAATATATTTTGGCGCCCAAGGCGCATTTAGAAAAATTTTAGGGTCCGTCACTAAATATGAATATCTCAAAAATAGTACGAAGTGGGACCCTTTGGGTCGGCAGGGGGTCGAATACCTGAAGGAAGCGTCCGTTTTTTGGTGAGGCTTTTTTATATCCATTTTTAAATGCTTTCCTTTCGATTGGTGCCCGGGCTGCGGTGCTCGACCCCGAATGGCCCTTGTAGTCAAACGCTATTCAGTCTTCGGGACACTCTTAGAAGATCGAACAGAAACATCGGTGAAAGCAGAACACAAGCAAGGGTCCAACAGGGCCAAATCATTGGCCAAACAGGTTCAACCATTTCTAATAGTAACAATATTTCACGCTTTTTTTTTTAACTTCAGCCAAAAATTTCTTTCAATCAAACACCTCCGATAGTGTGTTACACTGAATAATAATCAATTTTTGCTGCAAACTATAGTTTTCATCGAGCGCCCTTTAAAATTTTGAGATGCAAGGCTCCCGAATTTAAATACTTCTGATTATTCTTGTGGTTTAAAAACAGAATCAATCTAGCATTTGAAATTTTTCTATAAAAAAAAAACGTTATCGCTACAGTGATTTCCTGTTGCGAAGCGGCAATAATTTTGATTCATCAAAACTCCGCTTAACATGAGCCCGGAAAAGTACAAATTACAACTTCATTTGGGTTGTCGTCCGGTATTGTGGAAAAAATCAAACTCGTACCTTACTTGACAAACACGATCAGCAACGGACAATGTTTGAACCCCAAAAAAGGGAACATTGTTCGTCCGTTTTTGTTGACTTATGAGTCAAACATCTCAGGCCGGGTGCTCTCATATTGTCTGAGAGAAAATGAAAAAAGAAAGATAGGTACTTGAGAAAAAGTATATAATTTACTTCCATTCATAACTATGTTACATGTTGTCTTGACTTTTTTTTATCAGTTCAAATTAAAAGTTCAGGTCAAATAAAAACACAGAGGCGAAGTTGCATTTCTCATACCCAAGCAAAAATATGACAGAAAACGCTAATGAGAAAAATTGAATGAGCAACACTTTGAGTCTTCGAAATTTCTCAATTGACGCACACCAATTACGACGCATTAGCAGTACAATTCAATTTGAAAAAAAGCAACTAACCAGCCTCGATTTCTAGAGCACTCTATGGAGCAGTCAATACATGAAAAAATTAAAATAAAGTGATGAAAATAAAATGAATTTTTTTAATTTAAGATTTTTGTGAAAATCATCCCCCACACGCTATAATAAGCACAAAGTGATACCTTTCGCTCCTAACGAATCAATTATGACAAATAAGCTTCCTTTAACCAAATTGGAATGATTTCTATGACGGATCAAATCTCTGTTTACGCGTTACTAGCGCGAAAAAAATCGCGCGTTAATTGTCCCAAATTGGCCAAAAGGGCAATTTTTAAACTCCCATATTTTTATGAAAAATGAACACAAGTAAAATATCTTTCCAAAATTAAAAGCAGGACAAACATACTTTTTGAATGATATAAATAAATCCTGTCAAAAAAGGCTAGCTGAAGAGTCAAAATTTGTCTGAAGAAGAAAACTACTCCGAGCACAAATATTAGTTACTTCCGTTAGTTTCGTTACGAAAGCCGGAACAAAAATAGTCTGTGTTTAAATACTCAGCATTGGCTGTTCTTAAGAGCTGATTTTTGATCAAAATGAACACTTTCAAAATAACCACATTTTACTGCAAAAATATTGGAGTCGCAACATAATTTGCGACTTAGTTTGGAAAAAAAGATAGCTCACACTATAACACAAGCATTGCTTGTGTAAAAACAATCTACCTCAGCAAACTGAATCAACCTATAACTCAAGAAAATTTCACCTCAAACACTAAAACTCTAGCAAATTTAAAGTGTAACTGTTACTGAAAATCTTTCGACAAATCCCAATTTAAAAAACAAATAGATTCTTTTGATTCAAATTAAAGTTTGAAATAATCTCAGCTCTAACTAACCCAAACTGTAACTTGCAAAAGTAGTACTCGTAGTTTTAAGCTGATTTTCACTTTTTGTGCACCTCAATTCACTTATATCTAGATAGTCAAAAAAACCTTTGCAGCGGGCCAATTAATTTTTATAATAGCATTTAATACCAAAGCTATTTTCGACGCCCATTTTGTCATACATGCTGAAGGTGAACAAAACTGCTCGTATCAGGGCGAGGCCCTGAATATTCCGACTGCCTTTTAATGTCTATGGAGCAGTAAAAACTTGAAAAAATTAAATGTAAAATATAAAAATGATAATTATTTTTTTTAATTTGAGATTTTTTGTTAAATTCATCCCCCCACACGCCATATAAAGTTCAAAGTGATAGATTTTGCTCCTAGTAACAAATCAATTATTGCAAAAAAGCTTACTTCAAACAATTTAGAACAATTTCTAAGACGAATTAAGTAACGCGTTAATAGCGCGAAATATATCGCGAGTTAATTTTCCCAAATCTTTAAACCCCCATAACGAAAAATAATAGTTAAAAAACCTTTTCACATTTAAAAAAATCTTTTCAAATTAAGCTCAGTACACCACTACTTTTTGAATGATATAAAAAAATTCCGTCAAAAATGGCTAGGTAAAAAGTCGAAATTTGTCTGAAGAAAAAACCCACCCGTGCACAAATATTCCGTTACGAAAGTCGGAACAAAAAAACCTAGAAAGCTTTCACTCCTAGCAAATGTGTAACAATTTTGGAAAAAGTTACGGCTATCGCACTCCAGGTTTTTCCACTGTCTGAATGTTTGGCCATAACAGAAACGCAGTTTGATTATAGACACTGTATTCATTGCACGAGCTATGTAAACATACGGCTCATAACTGCTCAAATAAGTGTCCATCAGAATTGGGTGTGTTTGCCTCCGGAATCTGGAGTCAAACTTTTAGAACTGTAAACTTGAAAGTGTGACTGATTTGGTGGGGAATCGGAGATCATATATACGCTATGTTAGTTTGGTGTTGAAGAACTCAAGGGCGGCCAGAAAACTCGGTTTTTTTAGACAATTACGCTCAAAATCTTGCTTCAAAATGAGCGGTTTGAGCGGTTTTTGAACGGTTTATCTATAAAAATCCGCTCAAAAAACACGCAAGGTTTGAACGGTTTTGAGCGGTTTATCTCAAAAAAACCGCTCAAAAACCGAGCAAGATTTGAACGGTTTTTGAGCGGTTTATCTAACAAAACCGCTCAAAAACCGCGCAAGATTTGAGTAGGAACTTAAATTGTAAAAACAATATCAAAATAACTTTTGCTCAATTTCTAATAGGAGACTAAGCGCAGATCTGCAGTACTTGAGATACAAAAATAATTGATTTGACTGAAAAAAAAAACAATTTTGGCCAAAAAATGCAAAAAAAAAATTGTCCAAATTGACATTTCTTTGCTGTCAAAAGCTTATTTACGGAGGCTTTTCTCAAATTGCACTCAGGAAAACTTAGAAATTCAAAACTTTGAACATAACACATTTGTTTTTTTTTCAAATGAAAGAGTACAAAAAAACTTTTGAAAAAGATCTTCAAATATCAAAGAACATTTAAATCCTAAATTAAATCCGAAAAAAATTCAGAAGTATTTTTGAAATGCAATTATTCGATTACTAAAGGGCATTTTTTATACCACAAACGCATAACCAGATTACTTTGAAAGGACTAAGCCGTGCATCAAACCAGTTTCTGTGCCTTTAAAAATTGATTTTGATTTTTTTAATTTTCAGACCACTAAACTTATTTCATATGACACAGAAGAGATGCGAACTTAGCAAGCACCCCAAAAATTGGCAAAATTTTAAAGAAAAAAAAATCTAAAGAACTTCACTGATAGTGAATTTCAAAAAAGTACAAAACTTAAATACTACTAATCGAGTAGCGCAGGGAAATTATTGTTCCGACTATAAAAATGTGGGGAACTCTATATTCGAGTGTTTTATTAGTTTTTATCTTTTTTTTGTTATCCACGCAAAATCAACTACCACCAAAAATTATCGGAATAGGTTGAGTGATTTGCCAAACTGGAGCCCTTTCAGTCTTGATTCGAACGACATAAAAAAGTTTTCAAAAAGTTTTTCTCATTATTGAAAAACTGTTTTAGAACTCTTGATTTTTTTTCCAAATTTGAGCAAATAAAGCGAGCGAGTAGGCTTACAACAGCCTGGTTATGCTTAATTCAAGCCCTGAAAATTTATTTTTCAGCAAGTAAATTAGTTTTGGGGTTTTTAGCTACTTTTTAGAAACCAAAAGCATCAGAAAATTTAAAAAAATCGAATCGAAAAAATGTTGAAACTTTTAATTTTTGGTTTAGTTTTCTAGTCATGTTTCTGAAAAATAGTCCAATTTTACTTAATTATTATGATTGTCAAAAATGTCTAAATTATAGTTCTACGTCAGATCTTTTCATCATACCACGCAGAAAAAAAACACTGATTAGATAAAAAACTGTTTGTAGGTTTTTTAAAGACTATGGTCGGAACTTTCTGTGCTTCTTGCACAGTAATCGGCTACCCTTGTTTGATTTGGGTGTTTCAGATTTGTTGATTTGAGGCTGAGTGAATAAGAGCTTCAAATTTTTGCCGCGATCGAAAACTTTTTGCCGTGAGCTCTAACTTTTCGGGTTGGTTTGATTTGTGGCTGAGTGTATGTGCGCTTTAAATTTTTGCCACGATCTTAAACTTTTTGCCGTGAGCGTAATTCAGTCCAGTTAATTGATATATTGCCAATTTGCTAATTGATATATTGTCAACCTCCGAAATTTGACAAAAAAAATGGTTACAGGTAGAACTTTTTCTACATTTGAGCTCAAGGAGGCAATATATTCAATAGTATAAAATTGCCCCTCAAATTTTGTGTTGAAAAAAGAACAGTCTGTGAAGCATTGGGCTGGCAAGTTTGTTTGTATGAACAATAGAATGGACCTAACTAAAAATCAATGAAAACAAAAATATTTCAGCAACGAATCAAATTAAAGGCTGATAGCTGGTTGCTTTACATGTATCCAAAAACTCTCCGAACTAACTGAGTTTTAAAAGATTCATTTTGCTATATTTACTTGGTTACTTTTTTCCTAAGCTTTTGAGTTTGAAAAATGCTAAATTGCGGTTAAGATTCGCTCGAAGCTTACATTGTTTTAAATGAAACGTTGCATCTGCGGCGAATGCATCCACCGAAAAAATCATTCGAAAATGAATTGCTGCACGTTAAATGACCAATTAATTTGTTAACGGAAACGACGTATATCAATTTGCATGACATTGGATGTAGGCACAAATTTCAAAAAAGAAGCATTTCAAAATGTATGGCAAAAATTGCCTCCGAAATCCTAGAGCAGGTGGAAAATCCAGCGCTTCGCCGTGATTGATTGACTCCAAGTATTTCAGAAGTTTCCAATGATTTCTCGGTTAAATTATTTTCTAATTTCTAGCTGGGCCGGGCGCTTTGACCAATATATGTCCCTGTAACGTTTGCTCCTACTATAATTAGACACTAGTTGATTCCTATCACAATCGTCCATCAGCAACGTCTCTTTCTAGTCTCATTGAAAAACAATTAGCTTAGTTAAATTTATTTACAGAAAAGGTAACCTACAATGCGACAGAGAAATTTGTAATATTTCATATTCGAGAGATAAATATTAAATAAAATACACAACAAACTATTAATCTGAGTTTAGTTAACTATGTAGTCTTCAAAGTTTTTCTGGTGTCCAGAGGCTATGCTATCTAAACACATTTGAATTCATTAAAACACATCTGATCGACCGTAATATTCTGGTTATGTTCAACTAACTCGAACATCAACTAAAACCCGAAAATTATAACTCTAAAGAAAAAACTCGAAAACTCAATAAAATTTGCGACATTTTCTTCTTTTGCAGGAAAACACCGAAATATAGTTTTGAGCACTTCTTGATAATACATGCGTTTAAAAAATGAAATATGGCGCGCGTTTACCTTCTCTTCCCCCATCAAAATTACTTTATATTGGCGCCAAGCTATTAAACAGAGCCAACTAACAGATGGAAAAGAGTAATGAACTCAAGGAAACTGAAAAAAACTGACTTGTTTTTTTTTCAAGAGCCTTCAAATATTGGATTTCGGCAAAAAAAATAGATGACCTTAAAGCTCTTTGAATTTGTAGAACAATTCATGATGAACACTTTTTTGTTAAAACTAACCCAATTTGAAAAAACTGGATCAATACGCAAAACTTTTATTTCGCTGGGAAATTAATTTCCCTTTTCGAAATCAGAAGTCTATCACGTTTTTCGTGGCCTTTACACTTTTGCTGTTCGATAGTGGAGTTTGCCTTTCTTTTAACAACAGAAATGAACTGAAATTAAAAATAATTCACAAGTCAAACGGCGAAAAATCAAAATTGAGCTTCAACAATTTTTAAGACTTTTTCCTGAAAAAAAAACCAGCAACACCTAAATAAGAGTACTATGTTCATTACTCTTAAACAATTTTAAGCTCCTTCGGTTGAAAATTTATGCCGCAAAATTGTACCTAACATGGACCTTTTGGGTGCTGAGGTGGTCTCTGAATGCCGGCGGTATAAAATCAGGATTAATTAATCGCCAAAAAAAACTCTCTACAAATTCCCTAAATTAAAATTAAATTTTCCCGAGGCATTTTACCTCCTGGACCCTATATTACAACATCTATTTTGGGCTGAACATCATTGAAAAACGCAGATTTTTGTTTAACCTTTTTAAAGTGTTCAGAAAACCTACTATCCTCGAAAACTCAGCTGTGGTACTATTTTTTTTGCTTAACTTGGCTAGTTTATAGTTCGACAGGGCGCCAAAATTGAATTATCAATCTCACTTCAATGACGGATTATTCATGCTGTGAAAAACTTGAAACCCTTATGCAAAAATCTGGTTTTTTTAGCTAGGTTGAAAATTTTATATTTTTCGGGTTGCTTACTTAATTAGTGTAAGTGCAGACAACAGTGAGCAAACTTGATTAAAAAATCCCACCTAAGATCCAAGTTTCTTTGACAACCGGAACATTGAACAAATTCATTCTTCTGTCCAATCTCTTCGCGGTCAAATTCTGCCCGTTTCGCTGTCCAATCAGATACTTGGCGTGTTCTGGGTTGTCCACGAGCCAGCCGCCCGAAAGAGTAATAAGAGCCATTAACTCGTGCTTCGGCGGCTGTGTCCCGTCGAGCACGTGCAAGAGACAGTTACACGAGAGTATTTTGGGAGGTTTCACTATTATAGATGCACTTGAGAGGTGACAAGCTATGTTACTCTGATGCAGTGCCTGTAACTTCAGAAGGCTAAGTCTTTCCCGGTTTACCTGAAAAACAATCAGTGTTTTTAATTTCGCATATTTTACTTCAAATACCCTAGAATAAAAACATCTGGTTACTGTGCAAGTAACACACAATGTTCTGTGCAAATAATCTCTTATATAAAACAAAAAATCACTCTGAAAGCAAAACTCCAGCTTAATTGGATCTGAGTCAGCATAACAAAAAAATTTTGACATTTTTTTCTCGACACTCAAAAACTATTTCGAAATTTTGCATTGCAGCTATAATCACGACTGAAAGGGCTTCAACGTGATATATCATTGAATCCTATCTGCCGTTCAATTAGAAGCACCTGGATTTTCGTGACAAACACTTGAATCCAAAGTGCCTCCACACCTTCGATGTTCGAAACAACCATTTGGACGATCACTTATCTCACCTTCGCTCCAGGAAACGTTGTCACTTCAAAATCCCTTTCTCGGAGCCATTTGCCTTCCGATAGTGATTTTTCTACCTAAAAACAAAACGCTCCAGTGAGAACTAGCTTCGAACAATACATTTTTCGGATCTGTTAATTATCCTCCTAATTGCAAACGGTAGAGGGGTGGACTCGTTGCAATGCTCAAGTTTCGCATTTTTGATTTACCGTTGAATAAGTCCTATTTAGAGGTGAAAAAAAATGTTTCCTAGATACCATAGGGGGTGGTGATAGTAAACAAGATCTTATTTATGGTTTCATGAAGACGTACATGTTCAGAAGCCTGCCTCAAGGCTAGATTGAGGAGCAAAGTTTTTTAAGTCGTGTTCAAAGTTGAGTAATACAACTCATCAACGACTAAGAAAGCCATCATAATATGAAAAAAAGGTATGATAGTTATGACGATGAGGATGTTTCAATTTTTATCGGCTTACCCAATCAAAAGTGAGCAGCCAACATCCTCGTGCTATGGCAAATAACACACTCAAAGTCCTTTTGCTCTCGTCGCCGCATACTAGATGAGTCACACCCTCCAGACTGCGGCTGACGTCATTCGTCACTTCATAGAGTCCCAACTCGCTCGCAACTCCCCCTCTTCGCCTCTTAGGCGCCACCTTCAACCCAGGCTTATTCTTCATTTCTTCGGGTGGAGAAGTTTCCTCACATAAAGTCTTCAAAGCTTCTTTGAGCGTTTTCTGCTGTCTTAAATTAGATTAATCGGACAATTAATATTCGTTTTGAATTTAGGCTATTTTTTAGTCGTTTGAAATCTTAGACTTCTCAAGCTTTTAAACTGTGATTTTTTATGTTAAAACCGAACTACGATCTAACGGTTTCAAATAACCGGACCTCCAAAAAAACTAGGAAGAAAAAATGCAAGCCATTGAATCTTCGAAAACAGGTTTTGCAATTGTTTTCCTGTGTTTTCGAATGGTGGGACCCGGTTTTATTAACTAGTTTTATTCGAGACTCAACTAATCATAGTTCTAAAACGCCGAACTAGCACTGAATTAAAGGGCTCTCACTTGGGACTTAGTGACGTCGAGTAGATTGACATGGAGCCACAAATTCCTCTCACTGCTGAATTAGCACCACCAGACTCAGTTTGGCCCGATTCGATTTTTGACAGCTTCCGTTTGACCCTTCGAGACCCTTTCTTTTCCATACTGTATGCATCTATACTAGCTCGAACTGTAAACAAAGGCGCCGTTCTGATTTCGTTTTTAACGTGAGTTTGCTTCGCATTTTTACATGGTGCTTCCGGTAAAAATTCTAATTCATTCAATTCCATGTTGTAGGAGCTCGTTTCAGGAGCAGTGTAAAATTTTGATGATGCTTGAGATGCAGCCTTGGATGCTTCAACTCTAGCCGAAGATTTCTCATGATGATTTTTGCTGTTAAAATCGCCGACAGGATAATTGCACATCGTTTTATTCGCATCGTTCCTTTTATTTACAGCCGCTTTACGTCTTGGCTTAGTAACTACCCGCTTCTTCATTTTTTCTCTAACATTTTCAGGGTCTGGGATGACATTTCTCGTGCTTCTAAGTCTGTTCACAACTTCGTTTGACCTTGACCTCGTGACTCTTTTATTTGGTGTGAAATTATCTTCTACCTCAGCTCCTTCCTCAATGTCATAAATTGCTTGCGTTTCTTGACAGTTTTCAGCTGTTTCTTGACTTTCTTCTGGCGTATAATGCATTTCTTCAGCGGAATCAAAACTTTTGCCTGAAGTATCTTCATCATCTTGTTCTTGATCCATTTGCATGTCATCGTCCATTTGCATGCCCGCTGAGTTCAAAAACACCACCGGATGGGACAAAAAAACCTCCTCGTTAACTTCGACTATCGGCTGTTCGTTATATTCGCTGACTTGAACATGAACATCTGGTTGCTGGCAACTTGTCTGACTAACTGCATTAGAATCAGATTGAAGTTGGCTGCAATTTAGCCTAGACAATCTTGTCACTTTTGGAGTTGTTTTAATAAGCATCTTTGCTTCTACAGGAAGTTGTCTTCGTTTACAGTCAGCAAAAACGTCAAAACTATCCATTTTCGAAGGCGTGAACAGTTTTTGAGACATCAGCATATTTGGTTTAGCTATTCGTTTCTTTCCTCGCGGTGGATGCTGTTTTTTCGTCGGCTCATTTTCTTTCCCAGTTTGCGATTGCGTTTCGCTAGTCGACTGCGAATCTATTGCATTTACTTCTTCGTGCTGAGAAATAACCTCGTCAGTTTGTTCACATTCCCGAGATTGTGAGCTCAATTGCGATTCGCTTTCACATGTCATTTTGTTCAAGTTGTGAACAAACTCTAAGCTATCGGGTACTATTTGGTTACTTAACGCCACAGTATCTTGATTCTGAGAATCACGCTCATTGAGCTGGTTGATGAAGCTGAATTCGTTTGTTTCGGGAATGTTGTCAATATTCATCTTTTCTGGTGATCCTGTTTTCTGCTTTTGTTTTCGTTTGTTAGTTTTTGCACTATAATTTTCCTTGCAACTGTCTCCAAACAACTTTTTCGACCGCGTTTTTCCTTTTGACTTTTGAACCGATCTCTGTCTTAATGCCCTACTAGTTGATTCATCTCCTTTTCTAAGGTCAACATGGTCATTGATTGAAAAATCAAAATTGGAAACCGGATCATAAGTGTCTGCTATTTCAGAAAAATCTGAAGAATGTGAGATGGTTTTTCTTCTCTTTGGTCTCGGTTCGGGTTCATCTGCAGAACTTTCCCTAGAAGTCGCTTCATAAACATGGTCTTCCTCCATTAACATGGCTAGCAAGGGGTCGATTTGTTGATTGGAGGCTGAAACAACACTTAATAATAAAAAAAGTGCAAAATGAATGGTGAAAATTTTTAAAATTTTACTTACGAATTGCTTTCTTCGTAGTGTTGATCAGGAAATCTTGCGTAGGTATTAATGCTGAAAAGAACACCATTGCATTAATCAATTTAGAGGCATACAAAACCAAATAGAAAAAGCAATGAACCTCACTTGGTGAAATTATTTGGTCGGTTGGCACTCTGTGCATATTTATTCTTTCTCTAAATAGATCCATTCTTCTTTGCATATCAGGGGGAGTTCGAATAGCTCGCTCTGCAAAACCGTTCAGAGGCATTGGAGATCGCGTACCAAGTTCCAACCTCTAAAGTAAAAACATGAATCGATCTACTTTTCTATAAAAAGCAATAAAGTAATGCAAAAAATGTGCTAATGGTACGATAATGTTTCAAGTGAACTTTTAGTAAAGTGAACGAAGAAAGGTTGGATTAACGTTGTGTGTTGTATTGCAGTCGTACCCTTATACCCCTCAAATTAAAAAAACACTAGATTAAAATTGCTGAAAAATAATTGAAAGATTTCGATAACAAACGGCACACGCAAACTTAAGAAATTTCTTCTAAAAATTTAGCACATGTTAGAACGTGTTGTACTGCTTTATTGTAACTAACTACTACATGATACTAACCGGGCTGCATGCATTTTTAGGGTCGACTAATGATAAAATTTTGCTCTCAACGACATCTCTGACCACAGGATGTGCATCAAAAGTAATAATGTTTTCCAAGCATTGTACTTTAGCGTCAACCTTTTTCTTCTGTCGAATAATTCGCGAGGATATCTTCTTATTGAGCGCATCATCGGATAAAGGATCAAGACTTCTACGGCCTCTCATTATCTGAAATTGCATTATCTCAGATGAATCCCTTTTGAAGGCGCATTAAACATTCTAGAAGGTGAGCAGAAGGTGCACATCTCTAGACTTCTGATAGATTGGTATGGTAATTCTTCTTCTAATCTTCTTCTATAGTGTAGATTAGCAATTTCAAAGTACCGGTGACATCCGGTACCCCTAATATAATTTTCAACACGATCGAATAAACTGTTATTTCAAGCACCAATAATAAATGACAGGGCAACTGCGCAAATCATAACTGACAGAAAAATTAAGAAACTTCCACAGCACCAGTTCAAATTTTTTAAATAAAATTATACATGATTTAATGAAAAAGCAATTTTAAAATGAACTTTACAATTCGCAACAGTGGAACATGTTTAAAAAGATAACAAAAATAAGATATTGACTTACACAGGTAAATCAACATTCTTTTAAATAAAATTCACTTGCTTCTAAGAGACTTTTCGATATGTCGCCACTGATGGATTTTCACTTAACATGATTAGAACACAACGGTGAAGCTGAGCTTTGCACCATCTGCGATAGCTAAGAATGAAAACAACATTCCGCAGAAAAAGCATAAGATGTCTTCGAGCTAAGAAAAAAATAGAAAAACGCACTTAAAAACAAAAAATTTCAAAAATAAACGAAATTTTTTCATGATTAAATTTACTTAGTTTTTCAAAGAGGTCCTCGCGGGGTTGATTATGAGCAATCAAAAACATGGAGCCAGAGTCTTATCGATCTTAAAAAAACTTGAAACTGAGACGAGAAAAAAACTGAAAGATAATAGTTAGAAACGCCGATATAAAATAAGCGAAAATGTTGTTGTTGTTGTTGTGAATTTTCAGTAGGATACTGATGGGATGATATCCCCAAAGTTCTCAAAATTTTGTCCAGTTATTTCGGCACATGTTGCAGTCACAGAAGAGGACCCATGTGCACTTGTTTTGTTCTGAGAATTGATCGTCGAAAAACTTCCACATCATCTGTATCAATCTTCGCTTTAAGCCTCGCATTTCTCGAAATTCAATTTTCTGATTTAGTCGGTTTATTAGACGGCACGTCCTGAATGTATACTCTCCTCTAGCTTTTTCAGTTCTGGTCTTGTTTAGGTTGAAAATTTCTTTCGTTGTTCCTGGATTTTCAATTTTTTCCGGGAGCTTAATGTGATCGTTTTCTTCATGCATGAATTTCGCCATCATCAGTAAATCGTTCAGCTGGAGAAACAACGCCATAGGCAGGATGTTTAACAATCTCAGCTGCTCTGTATCGTCAGAATCGTTTCCCGTGATCCACTTTAAGACTTTCTTTTGGAACCTTTCTAATCTCCCTAAGTCGTTTCTTGAGACATTGCAAATAATTAGACCATACGTTAGAACAGAAAGTATTAAGGATTTGTACAGACAGAGTTTTATGCGCATTTTGACTTTGAATTCTAAGTTTCTGCTCACATAGTGTCTACGAGTGCTTTACTTGTAGTGAATGCAAGGTGATATTCCATATTCAGAAAATAAACTGACCGAATTTTAGTCGACGCCTATAAAGCAGAAAACTTGCAATACAAGAAAGACGTAGCACAAGCTAGCAGAAAGAATTGAGACAAAACAATTGTGAAAAGGTGATAATGTCAAGAAAAGCTAGACCTACCACCATTAAAATATCTTTGCATCTGTTTGCGTAAATAAAAACATTTTAAAAACAAAAAATTGACAAATAGGACAACTGAATGTTAAATTTGCAACCAAACAAATTTTTTGTAGCGCTATCAAGCCGACGAAGCTAATTGCAAGCCTCATAATAGCATGCGTAAAACTTCCTTGCTCATAAGTCAACAAAGCAAAAATATTTTGAAAAAGTTTGTACATCTAAGTATATTTTATGAAAAAGACAGCTTTTTTAGATTTTCGTCTGACTGACGTTTTTCGGCTTATTTCCCGTCGATTGGAATTTTTTGAAAATTCAGTTTCTTCTAAATTTCTTTCGTTTTTTTGTTCACCAACTTTCACACGTGAGAAGCTTACATCTGTTTCAACTTGATCTAATCCGGCCTTTGGTTCGAATCGTATAATTCGCACCAACGGCCAAGGACATGTGGCATCCCGCTCTGGTCACGGTGGGAGGGGTCCCAGTGTCATCCGTCGCCTCAATGTGGGACCAGTTGTGGCAAAATGCATGACAACTCTTTATCCCGCGGCTGAAAAGCTTACGGTTGAGTGGTGAGAGCTTGTCCCTAAGCTTAAAAAACAGAGACCGAATTAGATTATCTAATCCGGCCCCGACGTGTATTTTCTTGTCAACCTCAAAATTTTCTGATTTTTCGGGCTATCGTCCGCCTATGTACTTAATTTGGACTTGTACTCCTTGCATGGACTTTTTTCAGAATTTCTGTAAACTTCTGCACGACTTCTATAGAAGTAATTTAGTTTTATTCTTTTGCGGAAAGTTTGTTGAACTATTTCCAAAATTTTAAAAGTAAAGAAAAACCGATTAAGTAGAGTGCCAATTGGTCTATTTATTTTGATTTAAACTTATTAAATAGTTGTTTTCAGTTAAAAATGAATAACAGGGCAGCCGTGGTGGCCCTCTATTTCTAACTACTGATTATCACTACACCAAATTCAACAAACATGGTCTCTGGGAAAACAGCTTCTTCCTTCTTTTCTCGATCTCCAGTACCAGCTGAGTTCTTTCCTTATCTATTTCCTTATTTTTATCTCTATGTTAGAAATCATGGCCGCAAGTTCTCTTTCTCACTCAATCGAACAAGGTCTAACCCCTGAACAGAAAAATATAGTAAAGCAAATTGTCTACGCCGAGGGGGGATTTAACCTGAACCCAAGGACGAACTTTAAATTTAAAAACGTTACCGATTATATACGAGCAACAAGCAAATATACTGTGGCACGATCTTATCAACAATTCGATCACAGAGTTTAAAAAGATCAAACCCCTTACGACTCAGCAACTCCTGGATACTCTCAGAAGCTTTAACAATCTGTTTGCTATTGTCTACTGTCAGCGTACGGGAGCAGAAAATATATTCGACGAGCTACGAACTCTTGACACGATTGTCATCGACGTTACAAAACATCTTATCAGTAAATCAGAGAGTCTAGACGAAAACATCACAGGACTTTATCGCGAGCTTCACCAGTCATCTGATCTAGAACTACGATCTCTCTCGGTAGTCTTGCACTACTATCCGAACCTTCACGCGATCTTCAAAACCCGCTCCACGAAAAGCAAACCATCGAAGAATCGACGAAGAGCCAAGAAGAGGCAACGCTCAGCAACTCCACAATAAAACGGTTAGTAAAACTCGTATTGGTTGTACTCTTTGAGTCCTTTGACTCGGAGTCCCTTTCTAGTTTTACTACATTAGTATATAACTGAGTGTACTCTTTGAGTCTTTTGACTCGGAGTCCTCACCAAACAAATATGACACGAAATCGTGAAATGACCACTGATTCCGTATGCGAAACTTGCCAACAAAAAATCAAAAAGAATGAAGATACATTCTGCTGCATCGTGTGTAATTGCAAAATGCACCTGACGAAAAACTGTACCAGCCTAAGCGATACAGCAATCAATGGTATTACGACACTGGGAAAAAACATTGCTCTACTCTGCAACAAATGTGTGGATTCCAACGGATATGAGAGAATCCGAAAAGCAGTCAGTGACGCTGAACAAACCTCGCCGAAGCAATTCAATAAGATTGAAGAGGACATGGAAGAGCTCAGAAACAACGTACAGGAGATTAAAACGCTGTTCTCCCAAACCACAATGAAGCCAAATGAGATCAAATCATAAGCAAAAACCAAGGTACCGATAAACGCAACGCCGAAACAAGAAAATCAAAACGGAATCCGCATCCGCGGCATCCCCGAAATAAACGACAAATATCAAAGAAAAAGACAAGAAAATGACCTCCAACAAGTAAAGGAAATCTTGGAGCACATGCAAATTGTGCCAGAGATAGTTGATCTGTTCCAGATGGGTCAACGACAGGAAGGCAAGGACCGAACCATACTGGTAAAAGTCCCAATTTGGCAGAAACGACTAATACTATCATCCGCTTGCCGCCTAAAAACATATGACAAACCTGTGTTTGTCAGCCGCGAGCTATCAGTGGATGAAGCAAAACTTGAAAATCAAGCACTGCAAAAACGGCGGGAGCTCATAAACGAAAACATCGATAAACAAAACCTGCGCATCCGCGATGGAAAACTCTACCAGAAAATAGAAAACAGATGGACAGCAGTTGCAACCGAAAAAACGGAGAACTCAATCTCCAATTGACTAGAACTCTTTCCTAATCTACTCATCTACAGCGTCCGAAGCATACTCGACTACAATCGAAGATCAAACTTCGCAAATGCGATAAACACAAGCTGTCAATACCAACTACTTTGCCTAACCGAAACATGGTTAACCAACGACGTAACAGACAACTCCATATTCTTGCCTCAATTTGAACTCTATCGATCTGAAAGAACTTCAAAAACCGGTCTATCAAAACACGGAGGAGTTCTAATTGGCATCAATGCCAACATACCACATAACCGCATTGATACAGGCATGCAGGACTGCGTAATGGTTCACCTCAAGATATCTGTACCAATACTTGTCTGCTGTATATATTGTGCCCCTGTGTATAGCCCATACCGATGGTCACTAGATCAACTTAACTCATTGCTGAACTTAATAAAAGCAACACAACGCGAGCAAGGCATACGAAATCTTGTCATTGTTGGAGATATCAACTTCTCGTGTACAAATTGGAAATCACTCTCATCAAAATGCGAGTACGAACAAAGCATCCTAGACAACTTCCAGGTATTAAACCTGGAACAATTCATCATAACCGATACTGGAAAGAGCCTGGATATCCTGCTCTGCAACAATCCTGATATCACACTAGACGTATACATGGACAATCGGCTCAAAAACGACTTCACCTCAGATCACCCACCTTACGGCTCAAAGTTAC